GAATTATTCTTGTTTAAAGTTTCAAAAAAATTTACTTAGAAAAAATATGGTGCGTTTCTACTGACTCACCCCCATATTCTCAGAATATTTCAAAATAACATATAAATGGCATGCCCTATTGACTATTTGAATATTAGGCATGCCATGGTGGCATGCTCATGACCTCTGTGCCACTTTCCCTACATATGATACACAGTAGTAAAAACTTTAGAATATGAATATTTTGTTAGAGTGCCAAGCGTGATTTTATAGCAAAATTTGAGTTATTAGTAATTTTTTGACGCATTATTAATTGATCTGCTAGTCAAAAGTTCTGATTTAGTACCATATCAAAAATGTATCTATAGATCGTATGAATTTACTATGTAAATCGTATAATAACGCAAGTCTATAATCACAGTAATAAGAAATATAAATCATCATAACTTTACGTACAGTACATAAAGAACCCAATGTCTCATCGCTCTTAAATAAAACTCAATATGCGTGCTATTTCCATCATAATTTAAAACGTTAGTCGCATCTTAAAAATTTTATCAATATCGATGACATTGTTTTCGATATTGTTTACTGGCAAGTAGTTTTTCCATGTTAAACAAACTGAATTGATATATTTTATATTATCAAGGAAAAAATATGGACATAACATAAACAATGTTGAAAAATTTGTCAATATTACAGCCAATCACTACACATAACGAAGTTTAAAGATACTGTATACACTAGACATAAACTAATAAATTTTCTATAAAAATATATATATAGATACTAAATATATATTTATAAAGCTATAAATATTACATATATTCATTATTATAATTATAAATTTGTTATAAATTTGTTATATAAAGTACAAAATTTTTATTACTAAAATTTTTACACTTTTATTTTATTTTTTTTTAAAACTATTTAAAATCTAATTTATCAAATCAAGAACCCTATTAATACGTTGTAGAATTATATCTTTTCCAATCGTTTTCATTGTTTCAACAACACCAGCCCCGATCTTTTAATTTTTTTGAAAAAAACCAATAAAAATTAACAAAAAAATAAAATATAATAAATAAATAAATAAATAAGGTTATTAACCTTAACTCCAGTAATAATATATCTCAAAATCATCAAAACTTGATTTTGTTTAAGCTGACTAATTGAAATGATATTATTAACAACAGATTTAATAGTATCAACCTCAAACTCGGTTTTATTAAGAATATTGATTTGTTCTAACGCAACCATAGCTACTAGTTCTAAGATTTGAAAAGCTGTGAATATTAATTTACAGACTAAACAATAAGAGATGAAATAAATAAAATTTATCACTAACTTAAATCATTGTCTTGAATACTTAATCTGACAGCTTTGGATTCTGGCGAAGAATAATCAGGGTGAACAAAAAAATATCCACATAATTCTGGTATATCTTTTATATTTTGTATTCGATCCTATAAAAATCATGTTTTATAATATAGAATGAATCTCAATGCAACAACTTTTAGCAAGTGACTGTTAGTAGACAATAAAATAGCTTGATTGGTGTGTAAAATAAAGTCAAACACTAAATTGTTATTGGATAGGCTACTTCAAATAATTTTTTTTCTTGCAACATTAAACAATAAACAAAGATTATTTCTTACTTTAATTGTCATGATAACCTTGGAAAGATATTCATCTCCAAGTTTGTATTTTTTATCAGCTTCATTAAACCTAAACTTCAAAAAATTAATAAATAATTGGGAAAAATTTCACGATAGTAGATTATCTTACTGTTTGCCAAATCGTTCATATGCCAATGGTTTTAATAATGAAACCAACTCTGCCAATCCGTCTTGGGATTCACTTTTACGAATCAAATGTTGTTTATTCAGCCAATCAAGTTTCTCGCGCATTACAATAGCGCCTGACCTGCCAATATGTTCTAATGAAAACTTTAAAATTCAAATGAACTATTATTATCTTCACAGGTGTACTGATAAACGTGTTGTTATAAAATTGTAAACCTCAGCTATCAGTTCATCCAAAGTAAATATTTCATCTTTTTTCCCACTTGATGAGCTCCATCCTAATAACGCAACAAAATTTATTAACGCTTCAGGCAAATAACCCCTTTTCTATAAGTAGCAAGTGTTAAATATATATCCTAAAATTGGGTGTTTTTATTTTTTTTTAAAAAAAAAGGGGGTATGATACCGCAAGGTCTTCAACATTAACATCACCGGATCGCTTTGATAGCTTTGTTCTATCCGGATTAAACAATAAAGGTAAGTGCACAAATTCAGGTAAGTTCCATCCTAATGCCTTATAAAGAGCTACATGTTTTGGTGTCGAGGATAGCCACTCCTATTAAAATCGGTAACGGTATTAGTGACATGAGATTTATAAAATGGAGTGATATGAATTAAAATATTATGTAATATAGATTACCTCACCGCGTAAAACGTGTGTGATTCCCATCAAATGATCATCGATGACGTTCGCCAAATGATAAGTTGGATATCCATCACTTTTCAATAAAATAGTATCATCGATATGCTTATCGTTGAATATAATGTTACCATATGTCAGGTCTTTTATGGTTACAGAACCGTCCGGTGTCTTATTAACCAATATATGATTTATTACCGAAGAGTAAAATTAGGATAGAGAAAGAGATAATGAAAATACCTTAAGTCGAACAGTATAAGGAACCCCTTGTGCCAAATTTTGGTCAATATCTCTTTTGCTCAGATATAGGCAATGACGATCATACGCAATACCTTTACCGGCCTTTTGTGCAAGTGACCGAATTTGCTTGAGCCTCTCTGGAGTACAAAAACACCTATATGCGTTTCCCTCCTAGTGCCAAAAATTAATTTGTTTGTAATTGATTGATTTTATGTCCTAATCGTTCATTGGCACTTACTTTAATTAGTTTGTCCACATGATATTTATATATATCAGTTCGTTCGGACTAAAAAACAGTATTTGTGGATTTATTAATTTCATCCGAATTGTGCGATCATACACATAATCTTTTGAAACTCATGATACCTGATAATATGAGCCATGAGATCCGATTTTACCAGGTCCTTTATGAATGGTATAAAAAGTCAAACCAAATGATTAAAATATACAAAAAATTCACATGCGCACCTTCATCAAAAGTTAGCCCGGACCACGATAATATAGATATCAAACGTTCCACAGATCCAGGAACATAACGTTCCTATTATCATTATGCAAATCGCTTCCATAATCCATGTTAGGTTAAAAAAAGATATTCCCAAACTTGACTAACGGATATTACCCTATCGGTATCTTCTATTCTCAAAATAAAAACACCTCCAGTTTTTTGTGCTAACAAATAATTAAACAAAGCTGTCCTTAAACCTCCAAGATGGAGATATCCCGTTGGGCTGGGTGCAAAACGAACGCGTACTGCAACTGTTGGTCGAACAGTTTGAAATAAGCGTTTACAACTCACTAACGTGTTAGACATCAAAAATCACATGTGAAAAAATATTCACGTTCTTATATACGCAGCACGGCCAGCATTAGGGGGGTCCTTAAAGCGGGGTAGATCACGTAATATACCGTTTTCATTAACTTTAGGGTTAGCGCCCACCTTTGGTTAGTGTAGTTTCTATGGGTAAAACTCCCTCCCCGACATTTTTTGTTAATGCTGCAAGGTGGGTTTAGACTACAGTTTCTTCTATTTTTCGCATATTTCTCTTTTTTTCGCTTGTTTTGCTTCGTCGGGCTGATCCGGGATCATCAAATTTTAACAATTTGATTGGTTAATTATAACGTAATCTTAAGGGACCCCAGCATTAGGAAACTTGCGCATGTAACATAGACCGTATCAGTTTAAAATTGTTAAAAATTTGGTTTATTTTTATTATATGTATTCGTTATATACAATATATTAAATTCAAGTTTAAATAATTTTTGTATCAATTTATATGGACATGGTGCAAACAAATTTTCTTCACAAAAAATCAATTATCTCGTGAACTTATTAATAAGAATCACATGACTTTGGTATAATTCGATTCTTCTCGAGACGAATCGAATGGTACCAAAATTATGTAATTCTACTTAATAATTCGTGAGATGGTGATTTTTTGTGAAGAAAATTTTTGTCAATTTGGACCCTTTTTTCAGCACAAAACCCATATATGAAATTTGAATATTTATACAAATGTTATGCTTTATTATTAATAAATGTTTAATATAACACGAGATGATTCAACAGTTTGCAACTCTAATCAGCGGCCCTAACAACTCCAACCTGAGGAGGTCTAAGAATCCTGCCATTTAAACTGTATCCTATTTTTTGTATATCAAAAATAGTCCCAACATCTTGACCATTTACACTTGCTTGATATAAAGCTTCATGGATTTTTGGATCAAATTTTTCTCCTAACTTTGGTTCGATCTTTTCTATTCCGTGACGTTTAAGTGTATTTAATAATTCTGATTCCGTTAAATAAACTCCTTTATATAAATTAACCAATTTATTAGTAATTGAAGCGGACTCTGTAGGAACAGTAGGTTCGGTACGTAGCTCTGGTGGAACAGACGCTAAGGCAAGTTCCAAATTGTCCACTGCAGATAAAATATCTTTAGCAAATTTTTGAATTGCAAATTGAGAAGCCATCTCTACTTCTCGACGCGAAATTTCACGTTGATTTTCTAGTTCGGCCAAACAGCGAAGATGTTTATCCTAGTTTTCATTTTGTTGGTTCATGTTATTATCATGGAATTAGTTTGATTCTGTTGGTAAAAAGAAATGAATTATTCGCATAAAGCACAAAAAATAGCAATAATTAAATAAGAATACCTTGAGCATTGCAATCTCTTTGTCCTTTGGATCAACCCCAGCCTTCGTCTCGCGTTCCTTTTCTGACTCCTTATCCTTTGGATCAGCCTCAGCCTCGGGTTCTTTTCCTGATTCTTTACTATCGTTGTCAAGTGAAACCGTTTTATGAAAATTGCGGGAGGCGGATCCTAAACCCGGTGAAAGACGAAAGACGAAACTTCGGCGAAAGACAAAACCCCTAGAAAAAGGCGAAACATCTGGTAAAAGGCGAAGCTCCTGATTAAAAGTGAAATCCCTGGTGGAGGATAACACCTCTGAAGGAAAATGAAGCCTCTGAAACTTTAATAAAAGACGAGATCCTGAGAAAGACCGAGCTACGTTAGTAGCCATTAGACATAGAAATGTGGCTTATATGTAAGAAATATTTGATCTCGATCTCTGATATAGCATTCACTACAGTTCCGATTCTAGCCAATCAGCATCAAGATCTGGTGTAACGGTTCACTTAACAAGGCCCAAAAAAATATAGGGGCCCAAAAATTAAAAATTTTTACAAATAAGCGGTCTCCGAGCCAAGTACAGATCACGTGACTTGCGTTTGGTAGGTGTAGTGATCTTAAGTAGTTAGGATTTAACCATATTGACCCAGTTCGGGACTTAAACGGTTATCGTCAGAGTCAAAACCAGTTTAACTAGCTAGTTTATCAAGTTTGTTAACACGTTATAAACTATAATAACTAGTTCATTTTTTATATAAGTAACTGGTTATAATAACTAGTTAGATTTTTTTTTATTTAACCGGTTAAACTTGCAAAAATAATTACTATTATTATTTACAATTGCTTTATATTAACAATATAATACATGAAGTTAGATATCAAAAGCAAATTTTACTTTTGAGAACTACTTTATTATAGTCATGTGTAGCATAAGATGCTTATCATCGTTTTTTATTATAGTTATATGTAGCATAAGATACTCATCATCATTTCATTTTCAAATCATAGTACTTATTATTTTTACAAGATTTATGCAATTAAAATATTTATTACAGTATTTGAATAAATATATATATGAAATATTATGTAATTGGTATGTAAGCTTAATATATCGGTCAAATTTTTAATATAAAGTTTAATTTTTTATATAATTGTTAAAAACCTCAGATAATAAAATATTGTGTAATTGGTATATAGTTTTAAATATTTTATATAATTGATAAAAAAACTTTACAATGCATAAAAAATCAACTCTTTCTGACAATCACTTGGACTAAATTTTCCAATGAAAAGAAATACTTATTTTTTATACTGGAAAGTAGTAATCTGTAGTGAGATAACTTCAACAAGGCAGTTTTTATAAAGGTTAACCTTTCTTTACTATCAGGGACTCCTTTATATATTTGACATACAAGCCAAAAGCATTAGTATACAAGATAACTGGCAGAAGATAGTGTCCTTATATATGAAATTTTGGTGGTTAGGTGGAGGTGATAAAGTTCAAGCCTACTGTCGACGAAGCTATCGGTTGCAAAACAACTGGGAAACAGTAAAGAATGGGTTTCTTTTAAGCTATATTTTTTTTTCTAACCAAGTGGTACCTACTATCCTTTTTCTGCTTCCCTGCTTTTTTTCCAAAATTTTTTAACAAAAAGTGGGGATTTGGCTTACTCCCTCTAAAAGATCAGCATTGTTTACTTTCCAAATTCAGACGGACTAGTAGATTGCAATCATGTGTTTGTTTACGAACAAATATGGTGCTACTGAATGGGACTCAGCCCAAGATCTCCAATTACGGTAGAAGGTAGCTTTGATATAGGGCCTTGGACAACGGAGCCATCTAAAGTCAGTGGAAAAGTTAGAAAATAAACTTTAATGTTAAGACGGAGCTTTACCTTTACAAGAGAGATATAATTTTTACCAATCTTGCATGGATTATAATAGTGTCTTTAGGGTCTTAGTTTTCTTTTTATGTTTTTTCTTTTTTGAAATCTGTATTTATTTTTTCTTTTTGTTTGTTTTTCTTTTTTGGTCTTTTTTGTATTTGTTTTTGTTTTAAACTTTTTTTTCTTTTGTTTCGTGCCTCTTGAAAAGAAGAAAAAATTAGAAGGGAAAAGAGGTTCTAAGGTGGGAGCTGAGCCCTGGCTAGACTATATCTTTAAATACGGCATACTATACTATATGTGGGGTATAGTAGCCAATATTAATGTGATAACCAAGATTGGACATCTTTAAGAGACAGCTGGCTTTTAGTCTAATTACCTTGTTAAATAGCTTAGTCTTGTATTAAGCATAATACATTTAATAAAATTTTAGTATGCAATTATCAAAGAAAAAAAAAATAAAAAATAAAAAACTTTAGATAATAAAATATTGTGTATAAGCTTTATATACTATTATTTGTATTTTTATTTTATAAAAATTATAGCTGCTAATGATAATTTATGTAATAATAATATTATATTGGTGTCTAACTTTAATGTAATTTAATATTTTATTAGCTTAGAAGTATTTTTAATATATTGGTCTATAGTACTAAGTTAAGTACTATGAATTAAATCTTTTATTTTTAAATGAAAAAAAAACTAATATTCTTTTTAAGCAAACTTATATAGTGATAATGAATTTTTTTTTTTTTTTTTTGAAATCATTAGGCAGTCATGCCTCAAATTTATTAGGCTAGATATTAGATACTATGACTAATATGAATTAAAAAGAAGAATTTGTACAGTAAGTAATAAACTCTAAATTTGTCAGCAGATAGCATATAAGAACTATCTCTAAATGACAAATGCCACCTTCTAATTATCTAAATTACAATTCTTAGCTAACCCAGTTACTCTATAAGCACCTATATTCGACCTGCTGTAGTAGGATTTACCTCCTTATAGTCTCGACCTGCACTTGGCCCAAGACTATACCTCAATAAATAGATCCTATGGCCCATCATGACTATCTTCTCTTCTTTCAGACTTCTTCTATCTAAGTCCGACAACATAATTAAACCCTTATTCGTATATAAAAGTAAAAAAAAAATAAAGCCATGTTTATGAAAGATATAAACATTTTAGAAAAAAAAAACACCTCATGGTGGAAAAAAAAAACTTTTTAACAAATTCTAAAATAGTCTAACAAAAATGAACAAAGATGAAAAAAGTGAAAAAAAAAGAAAGTAACATAACACACTATTATAGCCCATGCTAGGCATAAAAGTAAAAATTATATAATAGTTGCAACTAATTATTATATCTCAGTTGTAAAGCTAAGCCTTATCCTTGGGACTCATTTCGGGCACTGACTTCACTCGGGTATCTCTAAAATGGGGTACCGAACTCTTCCCTGTATATAGCACCGCATCGATAAACAAAACAAACACATGGTTGTATTCTACTGAGTTCATCTGAATTAGACAGGTGTAAACAATGCCGATCTTTTGAAGGGAGTAAGCTAAATTACCCACTTTTTGTCGAAAATTTTGGTAAGGTCAGCAGAAATAGCAGAAAGAAAAACTATACTATCACCAAAGTAGAAAAAGCGTTGGTTTCTTTATTTTTTCAAAAGTTCACACCCAACTATCCCAACCATGCACAGTACTTAATTTTGTCGGTAAGTGATAAACTCTGAGCTTGTCGGCAGGTAGCGTATAAAAACTACCTCTAAATGACAAGTGCTATGCTTACCAAAGTACAGTAAGTAATAAACTTTAAAGCTATCAGCAGGTAGCATATGAGAACTACTTCTAAATGACAACTGCTGTCCTGGGGCCTTCTTTCCTATGTCTTATAGTGTCGTTATAGTCGGTTATGCTTCTTCTCAGTCAAAAGATTTTTCAGAATTTTTGATCCAAATGATTGTCGAAAAGAGTTGTTGTTTCAATATATAGTAATAATAAATAAAACTATATATTAATTACAGCTAAATATATAAGTTTAATTTTAGCTTCAGAATTCTTAATGAATAATTTAACTAGTTAATTTAACTTAATTGGTGATCCACTAGTCAACCAGAGAATGATCATAGTGAAAAATGACTCAAATTACTATATAAATTTACTATAGTGCGAATGTGGCGTGTACACATCTAAAACTTTTTTTATACTAAGTTAATCACCTTTCTAACTTAAGAGACTTTTGTAGAGCTTGTCAAGACGCA